TATCTCCTTCTAAGAGTAACATATAACAACTCTTATCATCACAAAATGTGAAACATGTTAAAATCCATGCTCTATTCCTACCAACATAAGTATCTATCCAAATGAACGCTTGTATTCGCAACGATGATTTCGTACATGCATATGCTCTTGCCCATGAGGCCTTTACACAGAGTAGACTTGTCACTTATCACTTGTCACTTGCCTTGAAAACTGGCATCTCGCCACCAGAAACTGTATCAAGTGTTACTGTCTGTTAAAACATTCGACATTATTAAGAAACCACAAATACACACGGTTGATTGTACATGGAAAGAGTAAAACAACAACAAAACACATTGTCAGCTCGTGTATTTGACTGCTAAAATCGTACAATGTTTTAGCCAATGTGTTCATCGTGTCAAAGGTTTATACATTACTGTAACGGTGCCAAAACCATTGTAGTTATTGTTACAATGCTAAAACAAATGCTATAGTCACTGTGGTAAAATTTAACAACATTATGCTATTTGTGATAATGCTAGAGAGAATGTGATTGTTGTGACAATGGTAAAAAATGTGGCTGTTACAGCACGCGTAACACATACAACCAACACCTTCTCTTCGACAGACTGATCTTTTGTGACCTACTTCGAAGCTTTCTGTTATTAAGGGCCATAAGCCCAGTAACGACAACAATATAGAGACTCAGGCACTAGAGGATGTTATGCAATTTTGTTTTATTTCATTTTATTCTATTTTATTTTAACATAGATCTATATCCAGAAACTATAACCTACTCTTGTATCGACGTGTCTGTTTAAGACTTTAATTACTGAATTTATGACGGCCACTGCGGGAGTGGCCTTGTTTAAGCCAAGTGAAAATCTCTTATGTAACATATATCATATTTGAAAATCTCTTACTCCATCTCATGCTCGCCCGTCTTCATGATGCAACTTTACTATCGCTAACTGGGTTGTGTGTGGATTTTATATGGTAATGAAAACCTGCAATTTTATTGATGTTCATGAGCCACTGAAAAATATAATCCCCAGACGGACTTTAGAAAGCAGATGATATATGTATTTCAAAGTAATCTTCAAGGCCTTATATAAATAGATTGTTTTAACAATGATGGCAAAAGAGCTGAACAGAGTTCCTGTCGTGATCCAAGGCAGCATACAGTGAATATTCAGATTTGTTAATACGAAAACCCGCTGTTCCTGTACGCAAAACACGCCAGTCTTAGCAAAAGTAGGTTTAATAAATATATTCATGTCAAGCTGTGTCCAAAGTATGGCACATGATTCAGAAAAGGTGAGGCAAGGGTACTAAATCTAGCATAGATCATCATCATTTAGGAACTGATAAATCGGATACTGCAAATTGGTGAAACGTTAGCAAAACAGTCTTTCCCGTCTAATTATGTACCTAAATTTAGAAAATACAAAGAACAGCAGGAAAAGGAAACTTAACTATTTTCCATTAATGAACTCTACACTACCGTTGAGCTTGCTTGTTACACCGTTACAGGAGCTGAAAATACACATTATCAACTCCTGAAACATTCAGCAGAATCAAATCTAGAAATCTTGCATTGTATTTCATCAAAGTGTGACCTCTGGCGTATTTTCCATATCCTACCTATACCAAACGCAGTTATACGTATCCCTCAAATTATCACTGACCAGCTGCGTTCAGGATAATATACTCTGAAAAAAGCAACCCAAAGGTAAAACAATTAGAAATATCTGACAGAGTTTTGCTGATATACATACAGAATGAATACCAAATGATATTTCCTCATGACTACATGCATCGAGAGTGAGTATGTTTGAAAAGGTTGGCGAAACGTAAAAACGGAACGACGGGGGAGCGTCTCTGCCTACACAATGACATGGTATGGATATGAAAAAGTGTTTTCATTTCTGTGTCATCTCAAATGTACATCAAGTGAAAAGTGAAAACGGAAACTCAACACAACAACGCCATTGGTCGACTGCAGACATTTTTATCCGTGCATCGCGGATAGCCGTCATCAGACGCAGACGTGACCTACTACATGTACGTGACTGACTCGCCACGACCAGGGTGCCGTTGTACAAAGCGATCTTAGCGCCAAGGATCCCATACCTTAACATGGTAGTTTTAGCACTAAGGTTGTTTTGTACAACGGCACCCAGCTCTACACCTGCAGCTATACCATGCCTGAGAGCACTTGATTCTTGAAAAGTAGGTTCACAGTCGAAGTTGTCAAGGGGATTTTTTTTGTGTGTGTGAATGCGTGTGTGCGCGCGTGTGTGTGTGTGTGTGTGTGTGTGTGTGCGTGCGTGCGTGTGTGTGTGTGTGTGTGTGTGTGTGTGTGTGTGTGTGTGTGTGTGTAATATTCAATTTACAAACGACCTAAAAGAGGCTAATGCAACAACTAAATTAACAACGTCAGTATCGTATCAAGTGTGACCGGTGCCAACTACCCCTGCCACGCCCAGCTCGCACATGCCAACATACTGTACTGGTGGGACACAATGTGAAGAACCTGGGTATCAAACTGAATTGATTTACTGTCAGAGATATCAGATGTCAGGGCACCTGCCAGCAAAAGCCTGCGCACATTGTACACATATTGGAAACATATTGTCTGGTATTCGCCCATGTGATTTGCTCTTTGTGTGAAGCTTGTTTCAGGTTTCAGTGAACAATATTTCAGTGATGCCATTGTGTCAAAACTTAAGCATGGGTGTAATCATCCGTTCTATGCAGCTCTGTGTGTTTGGATAATTGTGTTTGCGAAAGTCTGGCGCAATAGCTGCCGTTATTTTGTACACACACATATATCTGGGACTGTTACAATCATCTGTCAGGTAACTTGAACAGCATTCTATAACATTCCACTTATTATATCTGTCGTTTCATTTATTTTGTTTTTGTTTAGTGGTATTTATTACAATTACTAGTTTATGAGGAAAACCGTAACTGTCATGACAAACAATTAAGGATATTTTGAAACCGAGATACACGATCTGGGACTGCCAAACAGCTGTATGGTGCTTGTGTGTAAATCATCGACTCTGTATCATCACGCGAATACCAGGTAGTTTCCTGGTCACCGATGACATTATGCCGATGGGAATTGGGACTGCACGTGGGTGTTACGTGGGTTCCTTACGTATATATGCAATCAGATACACTTCTCATAAACAGTCATGCCGGCTGATTTTGAATGACACATATCAGAGTACTTTTTATGCAGGGTTTTATTGAAAATGATAATAATGTATGGGAAAACAAACACCGGAAATACTTCCACTACACAATCGCAAGTGGTGAAGTGTTTGTTATCTCTCTGTAATAATGTATGGGAGAACAAACACCGGAAATACTTCCACTACACAATCGCAAGTGGTAAAGTGTTTGTTAGCTCTCTGTAATAATGTAAGATTTGGAAGAGTTTAAACGACAGTAAACAATGAGCGTCAGAAGCAAATAGTGGCCAACATTTTATAAACAGATCACTAAACGCCTATTCATGTGAAGGGTCATCCTGGATAATCTCCAGGGTATATGTTACGATAACTTTCCACCATACCCTGGAAGCATTTGCGGCTCGGCCCGATGATTTAGTTACCTCCTTTGGTTGGCTTTTTATCAAATCAGGTGTCTACGCTGGGGAGTTGAGCGTACCAATCAGAACTCACTTTCGCTTCTTAAATTATCTAACATATTAAACTTGGCAACACAGTTGTTGCAGAGGTACTCTGCAAGACGCAGAAGGAGTTCTTGCATATATATTTTTAAAGTTTCAGACCTGTCAATTTGTCTGTATGATTTCCCCAAAAATCTGAGTCGCACTTCGAACAAACCTTCGCGTCTGCGACCGCTATCTTTGTTGACACTGGCAAGCTCGGTTGTAACGGCGGCTTAGCTGACTGGCGACTGTGAGAATGAGGAGCCAGCATAGGGAGGTAATAAAATTATAATAAAAACCATAGATGCATCCAGGGGACAGTGGATATTTATCGGAACATATACCCTGGAGATTATCGAGGAAGGTGAAGGGGGAGCACATCCTGTCATACCGGTAGCATCAACCACTCACCCACTTGCATAAGAAAGTATTTATATTTTGCTAAATGCAGTCACACGATATCGTGATCCCTTTGTTTGCATAAACAAATATTGACATTGAATCATACTGCTTTTAAAAACTTTTAAGAACTATTTCCGATCTCTGACTCAGTGGGATTTTAATGACTCGATCGAAAAATATCTTTTATAGTTTACTCAGCTTATTGCATTACCTCTGTGAACTTACGACAAAATCAAACTGTTCAGTTCAGCAGCAGATACACCAGCTGAATTATGGGTAAAACGACCACCCCAGAAGAATATCTAATGATATCAATGTATGATCCGCCCAAACCGATATCAGTGGACGTCAAAGGTAAAATAGCATTACTTGAATTAGGAAAGTTTGTTTTCAAATCATGAGCAACATTGGTAGAAACGGTCAAAGGAAAGCGCAGTTAATATTCACCGAAAGTAATATTTGCTGTAACGGGGCGAGGAGAACGAGCGTACCGTGGTTCTGAAGGGGTCTTGACGTCGACGCTGTATGCAGATTTCGATAATTTGTCCAAGCAAATTAGATGGTAAAAAGATATATTGTGTTATAATCGGTTATGACACCAGTTATATCATGGCGTTTAAACTTAATGCTGGAGAAAGCCCGAAGTGGTGCAGGTGATAAAACTTACCATTGTGGCGGCCAAGAAATATAGTATGCTTAGCTTGGCTCTGAACTCAATATGTGTTCTACTCGACGAACATGGCGTGATAACATGATTATGATGGGGACAAGCTTCAGGTGGCATGTAGGTTTTCATTACAACAACGTTCGGTTCCCTTCCACAACGACACTCCTGTTTTTGAATCAGTTGCGGATGTACACGTGACTAACTACGTAACTGTCTCAAGTCCTTATATGGCAGCCTCTGTTGTATATATACACGTGCCTGTTGTCCAGGTGACGAGAGACATTGTACCTGGTATGGACATCCTACAGTGTTCGGGGATACCACCTGTTGTCTGGTATGGAGCGGGCGTGTGTTTGCTGATTTACCTGTGAGTATGTTCGCAACAAAGTCATAACAATGTAATGCCCTATCTTAACCATCTGTATAATCGACATACCTGGTGCTAACATAATGATTAGCGTGTCTCTGTGTTCTACACGGTGTTTAGAAAGTGACACTTTGAAATTACTTGCCTTATCGTCAGCAGGAACACAGTTTCCCCGCTCGTTCAATTCTAACTTCAATTGATGGTGCGCACAAAGGGTTAAATAATCACACAAACATATGATATGAATTTAAATAACTATATGGGGGTTAAAAATCATTGATGTTGCGATACTGTTTTCCATGTGTAATTATAGATCAGACTGAATTCTATTTATGCACGAGTTTAAAAATGCTACACAAGAATCGTCTAAATAACTGAAGCCAGACTACAGGCAGTCGCAACTCCAGACCTGTTAACTCTTGTACCCTTGTCTGCAGGTACGGCAAGTGGCAACTTCGGGTGCTTCCAAACGCTGGGATACCGGGACCCCCTCCGACTATATTCCTGGGAAACCTGAAGCAAATGGCAACACTCGTAAACATATATTTGAAAGCTTCAAAAGTACTGTAACATTGAAGTTAAACTTCATTGAGAGTGAAATTAGCTGCAGAATGTACATCTACTAAATCTGCCATTTTCTAGTCCGCTAGCTCGGAGAGATAAAGTATCCACAATATTACAGTTATATAACGGTGTGTCAGCTTACAGATGACAGTAAGTGAAGCAAATTGTAGATGTTAACAACAGTGCTAACACACCAAGCAGGTTATGGTGCTGACAAGCAACTACATGCAGGGCCAATTATGTATTGTCTTGGAATTGTCATAGTCACAGACTTCTTACATGACAAGATGCATCACTGCACAAGAAGTAAACAGTAAATCTAGAAGTGTAGGTAAATGTCTTCTCCCCTCTGAGTGACTTCATCCTTGCATCTATTTTGGCAGGGCATTGTCGACCCCCGTCGCACACACAGGAAAACCTACGGGAAGGTGTATGGGTGAGTCTAACGTTGCAGAGTAGAACTTCGATCTCTGTCATTATTACAAGCTGTAATGTATACACCAGTATATGCTCTGCTCCCAGACCTAACGCCAAAAATATACTGTATACAGTAATAATTACAAGCAGTATTGTTAAATCAAACACTGAGTATGTGATAAATTCATTTCAGGGAATATGTACAAAAATTGTTTCAGGAATTCCAGGGATTTTGTCAAACCACCGAGTGAGTCAGGAATATTACAAAATGCCTGAAATCTTTAGTGATTTTACAGAATCACTTATTTGACATATTCACTGTAACACACACACACACACACACACACACACACACACACACACACACACAGACAGACAGACACACAGACACACAGACACACAGACACACACACAGATAGAGACACACACACAGATAGAGACACACACACAGAGATAGAGACACACACAGAGGTAGGCACAGAGACAGAGACACAGATACACACACAGACACACTCGCGGGGACAGAGAGACACGCACGTACAGATACACAGATCCACACACAGATACGAAGTCAAAGAGACAGACACACACACAGACACGCACAGACACGCACTCACATACACATTCACAGAGACACGCACAGACACGCACTCACATACACATTCACAGAGACACAAAGATACGCACAGAGACGCACTCACTTACACATTCACAGAGACACAGATACACGCACAGACACGCACTCACATACGCATTCACAGAGACACAGATACACGCACAGACACGCACTCACGTACACATTCACAGAGACACAGATACACGCACAGACACGCACTCACATACACACTGGCAGAGACACAGAAACACACAGACACGCACAGACACGCACAGACACGCACTCACGCACAGACACGCACAGACACGCACTCACATACATATATACTGAGAAAAGGTTGGTTTTAAGTCTGGACTTAAAAATGTCAATTTTGTCAGAGCTTTTAAGGGCACGTGGGAGAGAGTTCCAAAGTACAGGTGCAGAGTAAGAGAATGATCGGTGGCCAAAGGATTTCAGTTTGTAGGATGGGATGACCAGTCGATTTTGTGTGTTTGAGCGCAAGTTGCGTGCGCGGACATACGGATGTAGGGGTCCAGACAAGTAGGAGGGAGCCAAACCATGGAGGCGCTTGTATGTCAGACAGAGGATCTTAAAGTCAATTCTGGCCCTATCTGGTAGCCAATGCAGTTCTTTCAACACCGGTATTATATGGGAACGTTTAGACGTCTTGCTGGTGATGCGGGCGGAAGTGTTTTGGATCTTCTGAAGCTTATCAAGGAGTTTAGAACTGAGGCCTGAAAGGATGCTGTTACAGTAATCAAGCCTAGATGTAACAAGAGCTCGAACAAGGGCTTGAGTTGCAGCAGTTGTCAGGTATTGCCGAATGTTACCAATGGATCTTAGGTGAATGTAGCAGGTCCTGCTCAGACATGCTTAACATGAGCATCCAGAGTCAAGGAAGAGTCGATGTGGACACCCAAATCCTTAACAACATCAGAGAATCTGACGTCAGCGTCTGCGACTGTAAGGAAGTCGGTTTTGACCTTGCTAAGTTGTCGCTTTGTACCAATGAGAACTGCTTCTGTTTTCGTGTGATTAAGTTTAAGCATGTTTCCTGTCATCCAGCACTTGATGACCTGCGTACATTCAGCGATTCGCCGAAGAAACGTGGAGAGATCTGACAGATTAAATGCTTTCAGGAGCTGGGTGTCATCAGCGTAGGCATAGTTAGAAACTGTGTGGTCTGTAATAATCCTTCCGACATATCCGGTATACAACACAAACAGGACTGGACCAAGGACTGATCCCTGTGGCACCTCAAATGTGATTACAGTGCCTTTTGATCTCTCAGTGCTAACGACAACAGATTGCTGTCGGTCACATAGAAAGGATGTCACCCATTGAAGGGCATGACCTTCAAGTCCGTACTGTTGTGTGAGCCTGGACAAGAGTCTAAGGCGATCGATTGTGTCGAAGGCTGCAGAGAGGTCCAACAACACTAGAGCAGCAATCCACCCATCATCGACAGCACAACGAAGCTCATTTGTCACTTGCAGTGAGGGAATCTCCGTACTAAAGTATTGCCGATACGCTGACTGGAATTCATCAAGCAGAAGATGTTTAGAGAGATGGTCTTTGAGGCTGGCATGCACAGCCTTCGCAATTATCTTGGAAATGAAGGATAAATTTGAGACAGGTCGAAAGTTCTGAAGATTCTGAGAGTCAAGATCAGGTTTCTTTAGCAGAGGTTTGACTACAGCATGCTTGAATCTGTTTGGAAATACACTACTCTCCCAAACTTGAGTTGACAATTTTGGTAATGCTTGGCAGCAACAAGTCAAGATATTGAAACAGGAGTTTAGTTGGTATGGGGTCGGAGTCGTAGGTGGTAGGCTTTGAAGAGCGGATAATTGATTCAATGTCCTTAGGGGTGAAGGGCTCAAACTGTGTTAGTGGATCGCCTGTGAAGAGAGGTTCACTGAAACACCTATCAACTTCCTTGGCTGAAAGTCTTTGTCGAACGGTACAAATCTTTGAAATGAAAAATGAGTTGAAGGAGTCTACGAGTCCCATGTGACTTTGTCCGGGAGGTACTCTATCACCATCACCTCCTTTACCAAGCAGGGTATTCATAAACCTGTAAAGGGAAGCAGGTTTCCCCATACTATTCTCTATACTGTGAAGACAATATTTCCTTTTAGCGGAGATGATTAAAGAGGTGGTAGCATTTCGGCACTGTTGATATATCTGCCTGTGAATTTCCAGGCGTGTCTTACGCCACTGACGTTCTGCCCTGCGCCGCTGTGTTTTAGAGCGACGAATCGACTCGTCATACCATGGAGCATGAGGACGGAGTATCACATTCTTCTCAACTGCCAGAGCATGTTTGTCCAGAAGAGATGTGAGAGTGTCATGGAAGAGCTCAGCATGGTCCTCAACATCAGGGGGAGGATCAGTGAGGAGGTTTGAATTAACCAAGTCAAGTCTGAAACTATCTGGCTGAATCTTCTTGATGTTTCGACACATCAAGATTGAATGCTTGTTGTTTGGCTTAACTAAGTCAATAGTAAAGAAGACATTGAAGTGGTCAGACATCTGGCGATCGAGGACTTCAACGTCTTTGATAATACTGCAGCTGCTGTGTGTGATAATCCAGTCGAGAATGTTGCCAGATTTGTGTGTGGCGACTGACACATGCTGGGTAAGGGAATAAGTATTCAGTAGCTGAATGTATTTCTTGACCTCGGACTTCTCATGAGTGTTGAAGTGCACATTAAAGTCGCCAAGAATTACTGTATAGTTTTTGGAGTGTGTTGCGAAGAGGGTAGATAACTCTGGTAGAAAGTCATTGTTTTTAGTTTGTTTTTCTCAGAGGGTGGAGGTCGGTAAATACACACCAGGCTAAAGGTAGCCTGTCCAGAAGTTATCACAACATTCATGTTCTCAAAGGATTTAGAACTGTTTCCTGAGTCACTACGACGAACAGTGAGGGATTTTCTGTAGAGAATTGCGATTCCACCTCCACTTGCATCGAGTCTAGGGCAGTGGAGGAGAGAATGGGACACTGGTGTCATTTCAGCTATCTTAGCTTCATCACCCGTTATCCTCAGCCACGTTTCAGTTAGAATAAGCACATGTCATCGCCAATAATTATATCAAATATGTCAATAGGTTTGTTTCTGGATGACTGAGCATTCCAGAGACACATTTTAAGAAATGCTGGAGGCTTTGTAGGATGCACCTGAATGAGATTACTATGGTTAATCCCATGACAACAGTTAGTTCTGACAAAATCAGGGAAGGCATTTTCACAGATTGTTATTTTCCAAGGAATTTTCTTACCCGCTCGACGACCTCTCATGGTTTTCTTGCTAACAGAAATACCAGCATCACGTAATATTCTCATAAGTGTAGAGTCAATCCGACCATAAAAGTTTTCGCTTTTAACAGACACACAGGATGGACTGCTACATTCACAGAGACAATGATACACGCACAAACATGCACAGACACGCACTCACATACACAATCACAGGGACACAGATACACGCACAGACACGCACTCACATAAACATTCACAGAGACACTGATACACGAACAGACACGCACTCACATACATATTCACAGAGACACTGATACACGCACAGACACGCACTCACATACATATTCACAGAGACACAGATACACGCACAGACACGCACTCACATACACACTTACAGAGACACAGATACACACACAGACACACACTCACATACACACTCACAGAGACACAGATACATGCACAGACACGCACTCACATACATGTTGACAGAGACACAGATATATGCACAGACACGCACTCACATACATATTCACAGAGACAATGATACACGCGCAGACACGAACTCACATACATATTCACAGAGACACAGATACACACACAGACACGCACTCACATACATATTCACAGAGACACAGATACACGCACAGACACGCACTCACATACACACTCACAGAGATACTGATACACGCACAGACACGCACTCACATACACATTCAAAGAGACACAGATACACGAACAGACACGCACTCACATACATATTCACAGAGACACTGATACACACACAGACACGCACTCACATACATATTCACAGAGACACAGATACACACACAGACACACACTCACATACACACTCACAGAGACACAGATACATGCACTGACACGCACTCCCACATACATGTTGACAGAGACACAGATACATGCACAGACACGAACTCACATACATATTCACAGAGACACAGATACACGCACAGACACGCACTCACATACACACTCACAGAGATACTGATACACGCACAGACACGCACTCACATACACATTCAAAGAGACACAGATACACGCACAGACACGCACTCAAATACATGTTGACAGAGACACTGATACATGCACAAACACGCACTCACATACACACTCACAGAGACACAGATGCAAGCACAGACACGCACTCAAATACATGGTGACAGAGACACAGATACACACACAGACACGAACTCACATACATATTCACAGAGACACAGATACACGCACAGACACGCACTCACATACACACTCACAGAGACACAGATGCAAGCACAGACACGCACTCAAATACATGGTGACAGAGACACAGATACACACACAGACACGCACTCACATACATATTCAAAGAGACACAGATACACGCACAGACACGCACTCAAATACGTATTCACAGAGACACACATACACGCACAGACACGCACTCACATACACACTCACAGAGACACAGATACACACACAGACACGCACTCACATACACACTCACAGAGACACAGATACACACACAGACACGCACTCACATACATGTTGACAGAGACACAGATACATGCACAGACACGCCCTCACATACATATTCACAGAGACAATGATACACGCATAGACACGCACTCACATACATATTCACAGAGACACAGATACATGCACAAACGCGCACACACATACATATTAACAGAGACACAGATACACGCACTCACATACACACTCACAGAGATACTGATAGACGCACAGACACGCACTCACATACACATTCAAAGAGACACAGATACACGCACAGACACGCACTCACATACATGTTGACAGAGACACAGATACATGCACAAACACGCACTCGCATACACACTCACAGAGACACAGATGCAAGCACAGACACGCACTCAAATACATGGTGACAGAGACACAGATACACACACAGACACGCACTCAAATACATGGTGACAGAGACACAGATACACACACAGACACGCACTCACATACATATTCACAGAGACACAGATACACACACAGACACACACTCACATACATTTTCACAGAGACTCATATACACACACAGACACGCACTCACATACATATTCACAGAGACACAGATACACGCACAGACACACACTCACATACATATTCACAGAGACACAGATACACGCACAGACACGCACTCACATACACACTCACAGGGACACAGATACACACACAGACACGCACAGCATTTGTCGATCATACATCACGTTGCAATCCTGATGATTTTGTTTCCGAAGATGACAGACGGCAGACGTGAAGATCCGTGTTAGAAGTGGTCTTCATCAACCCATGCTTGTCCTATCAGGCGGCAACCGAGATCGGGTGGTCAGGCTCGCTTACCTGGTTATCGTTTCCCACCCATGCTGTTCATCACGATCCACCCGAAGAGGAGACATGTGGCCCTCATGGTTATCACCCATCCCCACCCCCATCCCCAAGGGAACCAGAGAAGGAGGGGGGGGGGGGGGAGGTGTCCTCCGCAGGGTCACGGAAGAGGATAGTGTAATGTGTTGCATATCACACATGTGTCATACTTGTAGTAAGTATAGATTTCAGGATGCCAACACTATGGAGGGCAGCGTTAAATGTAAAAACAACCCACAGCCATGTTTACTTCAAATGCCTAACTGATGTCCACTTTGCTTTGTAGTCAGTTCCTGGGTTCGCTCCCATTCATTTTCGTTCATGATTTGGATATACTGAAGGAAGTGTTTGTGAAGAACTTCGCCAATTTTAGAAACAGAATGGTAAGCAGCCATATCATTGTTTGAATACCTTACTCTTACTTATGGCCTGTAATCATCACCTAGCTATAGCAGTCGGTGATTCCGTATTCACTGTAGCGAGATCAGTGACAGTGAAACACATTTACACTCACAGATCAGATGGATATAGAGACACATTTACACTCAAACATGGATACATGTAGATACATCTACACTCACAGATGGATACATGTAGACACATCTACACTCACAGATGTACATGTAGACACATCTACATTCACAGATGGATACATGTAGACACATCTACACTCACAGATGGATACAGATCTACACATCTACACTTACAGATGGATACATGTACACACATCTACACTCACAGATGGATACATGTAGACACATTTACACTCACAGATGGATACATGTAGATACATCTACACTCACAGATGGATACATGTACACACATCTACACTCACAGATGGATACATGTACACACATCTACACTCACAGATGGATACAAACAGACACATCTACACTCACAGATGTACATGTAGACACATCTACACTCACAGATGGATACATGTTGACACATCTACACTCACAGATGGATACATGTACACACATCTACACTCACAGATGGATACATGTACACACATCTACACTCACAGATGGATACATATAGATACATCTACACTCACAGATGGATACATGTAGACACATCTACACTCACAGATGGATACATGTAGACACATCTACACTCACAGATGTACATGTAGACACATCTACACTCACAGATGGATACATGCAGACACATCTACACTCACAGATGTACATGTAGACACATCTACACTCACAGATGTACATGTAGACACATCTACACTCACAGATGTACATATAGACACATCTACACTCACAGATGGATACATGTAGACACATCTACACTCACAGATGGATACATGTACACACATCTACACTCACAGATGGATACATGTACACACATCTACACTCACAGATGTACACATATAGATACATCTACACTCACAGATGTACATATAGACACATCTACACTCACAGATGGATACATGTAGACACATCTACACTCACAGATGGATACATGTACACACATCTACACTCACAGAAGGATACATGTAGACACATCTACACTCACAGATGTACATGTAGACACATCTACACTCACAGATGTACATGTAGACACATCTACACTCACAGATGGATACATGTAGACACACCTACACTCACAGATGTACATGTAGACACATCTACACTCACAGATGGATACATATGGACACAACTACACTCACAGATGTACATGTAGACACATCTACACTCACAGATGGATACATATGGACACAACTACACTCACAGATGCACACGTGTAGACACATCTACACTCACAGATGGATACATGTAGACACATCTACACTCACAGATGGATACATGTAGACACATCTACACTCACAGATGTACATGTAGACACATCTACATTCACAGATGGATACATGTAGACACATCTACACTCACAGATGGATACAGATCTACACATCTACACTCACAGATGGATACATGTACACACATCTACACTCACAGATGGATACATGTAGACACATTTACACTCACAGATGGATACATGTAGATACATCTACACTCACAGATGGATACATATACACATCTACACTCACAGATGGATACATGTACACACATCTACACTCACAGATGGATACAAACAGACACATCTACACTCACAGATGTACATGTAGACACATCTACACTCACAGATGGATACATGTTGACACATCTACACTCACAGATGGATACATGTAGACACATCTACACTCACAGATGTACATGTACACACATCTACACTCACAGATGGATACATATAGATACATCTACACTCACAGATGGATACATGTAGACACATCTACACTCACAGATGGATACATGTAGACACATCTACACTCACAGATGTACATGTAGACACATCTACACTCACAGATGGATACATGTAGACACATCTTCACTCACATATGTACATGTAGACACATCTACACTCACAGATGTACATATAGACACATCTACACTCACAGATGGATACATGTAGACACATCTACACTCACAGATGGATACATGTACACACATCTACACTCACAGATGGATACATGTACACACATCTACACTCTCAGATGTACATGTAGACACATCTACACTCACAGATGGATACATATAGATACATCTACACTCACAGATGTACATATAGACACATCTACACTCACAGATGGATATATGTAGACACATCTACACTCACAGATGGATACATGTACACATCTACACTCACAGATGGATACATGTAGACACATCTACTCACAGATGTACATGTAGACACATCTACACTCACAGATGTACATGTAGACACATCTACACTCACAGATGGATACATGTAGACACATCTACACTCACAGATGGATACATGTAGACACATCTACACTCACAGATGTACATGTAGACACATCTACACTCACAGATGGATACATATGGACACAACTACACTCACAGATGTACATGTAGACACATCTACACTCACAGATGGATACATATGGACACAACTACACTCACAGATGCATACGTGTAGACACATCTACACTCACAGATGGATACATGTAGACACATCTACACTCACAGATGGATACATATAGACACATCTACACTCACAGATGTACATGTAGACACATCTACACTCACAGATGGATACATACAGACACATCTACACTCACAGATGGATACATACATGCACATCTACACTCACAGATGGATACATGTACACACATCTACACTCACAGATGGATACATATAGATACATCTACACTCACAGATGGATACATGTAGACACATCTACACTCACAGATGGATACATGTAGACACATCTACACTCACAGATGTACATGTAGACACATCTACACTCACAGATGGATACATGCAGACACATCTACACTCACAGATGTACATGTAGACACATCTACACTCACAGATGTACATGTAGACACATCTACACTCACAGATGTACATATAGACACATCTACACTCACAGATGGATACATGTAGACATATCTACACTCACAGATGGATACATGTACACACATCTACACTCACAGATGGATACATGTACACACATCTACACTCACAGATGGATACAAACAGACACATCTACACTCACAGATGTACATGTAGACACATCTACACTCACAGATGGATACATGTTGACACATCTACACTCACAGATGGATACATGTAGACACATCTACACTCACAGATGTACATGTAGACACATCTACACTCACAGATGGATACATATAGATACATCTACACTCACAGATGGATACATGTAGACACATCTACACTCACAGATGGATACATGTAGACACATCTACACTCACAGATGTACATGTAGACACATCTACACTCACAGATGGATACATGTAGACACATCTTCACTCACAGATGTACATGTAGACACATCTACACTCACAGATGTACATATAGACACATCTACACTCACAGATGGATACATGTAGACACATCTACACTCACAGATGGATACATGTACACACATCTACACTCACAGATGGATACATATAGATACATCTACACTCACAGATGTACATATAGACACATCTACACTCACAGATGGATACATGTAGACACATCTACACTCACAGATGGATACATGTACACACATCTACACTCACAGATGGATACATGTAGACACATCTACACTCACAGATGTACATGTAGACACATCTACTCTCACAGATGTACATGTAGACACATCTACACTCACAGATGGATACATGTAGACACATCTACACTCACAGATGGATACATGTAGACACATCTACACTCACAGATGTACATGTAGACACATCTACACTCACAGATGGATACATATGGACACAACTACACTCACAGATGTACATGTAGACACATCTACACTCACAGATGGATACATATGGACACAACTACACTCACAGATGCATACGTGTAGACACATCTACACTCACAGATGGATACATGTAGACATATCTACACTCACAGATGGATACATATAGACACATCTACACTCACAGATGTACATGTAGACACATCTACACTCACAGATGGATACATACAGACACATCTACACTCACAGATGGATACATACATGCACTTCTACACTCACAGATGGATACATGTAGACACATTTACACTCACAGATGGATACATGTAGACACATCTACACTCACAGATGTAAATGCATTTTCTGTCTATTGCAGGCGATGTTACAAGCTCTCAAAATGAACCCCTACCCGTTAGATATGGGAGTCACCTTTGCCAGAGATGACACTTGGTATCGACTACGCAATATCATGACTCCTTCCTTCACTGGGGCCAAGTTGAAACATGTAAGTGTGTTGATCCCAGTAACAGACACATCATGTGGCTTACACTCAGGTGGGATCCTTCTGATGATGGGAAACGCCTGGGACTTGGATGGTTGTAGTTCAAGTTTATCGAGGACTTATGCTGTTTGAAACCAAGTGCCATGCTATAGACTGCCTATCAGGTGGTGTACTCATAGTGGTACAGGTCAGCTGGTGTACTGATAATGTGGTCAGCTGGTGTACTGTTACTGTATTCAGCTGGTGTACTGTCACTGTGGTCAGCTGGTGTACTGTTAGTGTGGTCAGCTGGTGTACTGATACTGTGGTCAGCTGGTGTACTGTTAGTGTGGTCAGCTCGTGTACTGATAGTGTGGTCAGCTGGTGTACTGATACTGTGGTCAGCTGGTGTACTCATAGTGTGGTCAGCTCGTGTACTGATAGTGTGGTCAGCTGGTGTACTGATACTGTGGTCAGCTGGTGTACTCATAGTGTGGTCAGCTGGTGTACTGTTAGTGTGGTCAGCTGGTGTACTGATACTGTGGTCAGCTGGTGTACTGATACTGTGGTCAGCTGGTGTACTCATAGTGTGGTCAGCTGGTGTACTGTTAGTGTCATCAGCTGGTGTACTGATACTGTGGTCAGCTGGTGTACTGTCACTGTGGCCAGCTGGTGTACCGTCACTGTGGTCAGCTGGAGTACTGATACTGTGGTCAGCTGGTGTACTGTTACTGTGGTCAGCTGGTGTACAGATACTGTAGTCAGCTGGTGTACTGTCACTGTGGACAGCTGGTGTACTGATAGTGCGGTCAGCTGGTGTACTGCTACTGTGGTCAGCTCGTGTACTGTTACTGTGGTCAGCTGGTGTACTGTTACTGTAGTCAGCTGGTGTACTGTCACTGTGGTCAGCTGGTGTACAGATACTGTAGTCAGCTGGTGTACTGTCACTGTAGTCAGCTGGTGTACTCATAGTGTGGTCAGCCGATGTACTGATACTGTGACCAGCTGGTGTACTGATTCTGTGGTCACCTGGTGTACTGACACTGTGGTCAGCTGGTGTACTGATACTGTGGTCAGCTGGTGTACTGTTACTGAGGTCAGCTGTGTACTCATAGTGTGGTCAGCTGATGTACTGATACTGTGACCAGCTGGTGTGCTGATACTGTGGTCAGCTCGTGTACTCAAACTGTGGTCAGCTGGTGTACTGTTACTGTGGTCAGCTGGTGTACTGCTACTGAGGTCAGATGGTGTACTCAAACTGTGGTCAGCTGGTGTGCTGATACTGTGGTCAGCTGGTGTAGTCAAACTGTGTTCAGCTGGTGTTCACAAACTGTGGTCAGCTTGTGTACTCAAACTGTGGTCAGCTGGTGTACTCAAACTGTGTTCAGCTTGTGTAGTGTTAATGTAGTCAGCTGGTGTACTGTTACTGTGGTCAGCTGGTGTACTGTTACTGTGGTCAGCTGGTGTACTGTTACTGTGGTCAGCTGGTGTAGTCAAATTGTGTTCAGCGGGTGTTCAGAAACTGTGGCCAGCTGGTGTACCGTCACTGTGGTCAGCTGGAGTACTGATACTGTGGTCAGCTGGTGTACTGTCACTGTGGTCAGCTGGTGTACTGTTACTGTGGTCAGCTGGTGTACTGTTACTGTGGTCAGCTGGTGTACTGTTACTGTTGTCAGCTGGTGTACTGTCACTGTGGACAGCTGGTGTACTGATAGTGTGGTCAGCTGGTGTACTCATAGTGTGGTCAGCTGGTGTACTGTCACTGTGGTCAGCTAGTGTACTGTTACTGTGGTCACCTAGTGTACTGTGACTGTGTTCAGCTGGTGTACTGCTACTGTGGTCAGCTCGTGTACTGTTACTGTGGTCAGCTGGTGTACTGTTACTGTAGTCAGCTGGTGTACTGTCACTGTGGTCAACTTGTGTACTCATAGTGTGGTCAGCTGATGTACTGATACTGTAGTCAGCTGGTGTACTGATACTGTGGTCAGCTGATGTACTGATAGTGCGGTCAGCTTGTGTACTCAAACTGTGGTCAGCTGGTGTACTGTTACTGTGGTCAGCTGATGTACTGTTACTGTGGTCAGCTCGTGTACTGTTACTGTAGTCAGCTGGTGTACTGATACTGTGATTAGCTGGTGTACTGATAGTGTGGTCAGCTGGTGTACTCAAACTGTGGCCAGCTGGTGTACTGTTACTGTGGTCAGCTGGTGTACTGTTACTGTGGTCAGGTGGTGTAGTCATAGTGTGGTCAGCTGGTGTATTGTTACTGTAGTCAGCTGGTGTACTGATACTGTGGTCAGCTGATGTACTGATAGTGCGGTCAGCTTGTGTACTCAAACTGTGGTCAGCTGGTGTACTGTTACTGTGGTCAGCTGATGTACTGTAACTATGGTCAGCTGGTGTACTGTTACTGTAGTCAGCTGGTGTACTGTTACTGTGTTCAGCTGGTGTAGTCAAACTGTGTTCAGCTGGTGTTTACAAACTGTGGTCAGCTGGTGTACTGTTACTGTAGTCAACTGGTGTACTGTTAGTGCGGTCATCTGGTGTACTGCTACTAAGGTCAGATGGTGTACTGTTACTGTGGTCAGCTGGTGTACTGTTACTGTGGTCAGCTGGTGTACTGTTACTGTAGTCAGCTGGTGTACTGTTACTGTGGTCAGCTGGTGTACTGTTACTGTGGTCAGCTGGTGTACTGATACTGTGGTCAGCTGGTGTAATGTTACTGTAGTCAGCTGGTGTACTGATACTGTGGTCAGCTGGTGTACTGTTACTGTGGTCAGCTGGTGTACTGATACTGTAGTCAGCTGGTGTACTATTACTGTGGTCAGCTGGTGTACTGTTACTGTGGTCAGCTGGTGTACTGATACTGTAGTCAGCTAATGTACTGTTACTGTAGTCAGCTGGTGTACTGATACTGTGGTCAGCTGGTGTACTGTTACTGTGGTCAGCTGGTGTACTGTTACTGTAGTCAGGTGGTGTACTGTTACTGTGGTCAGCTGATGTACTGATAGCGCGGTCAGCTTGTGTACTCAAACTATGGTCAGCTGGTGTACTGTTACTGTGGTCAGCTGATGTACTGTTACTGTGGTCAGCTGGTGTACTGTTACTGTAGTCAGCTGGTGCATTGATACTGTGATCAGCTGGTGTACTGATAGTGTGGTCAGCTGGTGTACTGTTACTGTAGTCAGCTGGTGTACTGATACTGTGGTCAGCTGATGTACTGATAGTGCGGTCAGCTTGTATACTCAAACTGTGGTCAGCTGGTGTACTGTTACTGTGGTCAGCTGATGTACTGTTACTGTTGTCAGCTGGTGTACTCAAACTGTAGTCAGCTGGTTTACTCAAACTGTAGTCAGCTGGTTTACTCAAACTGTAGTCAGCTGGTGTACTCAAACTGTGGTCAGCTGGTGTACTCATAGTATGGTCAGCTGATGTACTCTACTGGCGATCAGTTGTTGTGACCCTACAGGCGGGCGCAGTCATAATAACCAGATTGTGCCTGGAGTTTGAAGATGTATTCGTTTTAGTTTCATGAGATTATTGAGAAACGTTTCTTAGTATGCTTCATTTTACTCCAAGTTTGTAGCTTTCAATACCAAGGTATATTTCATTTAGAATGCATGCTAGAAACTTGCATCCTTCAATTGCCATGGTTTATTACAGATGTGTGGCCACATCAACACAGCAGCAGAGTCGCTGGCCAGGAACCTGGTGGAGGCTGCAGGACACACAGACGCCACCTATGTGAAAGAGTACGTCATACCTTGATGATAAGATCACACACAGACGCCACCTTTGTGAAAGAGTACGTCATACCTTGATGATAGAGGACCAGAGAACACACGGATTATCTCCCCCCTTCCTCGCAGGGCGGGAGATAAATAGTCTGTCTGTTTTCTTCATGAAAGGAAATGTAATTATTGATTATCCAGGAGGTGGGGCATGTTCCGTGAAAATATAGTATCTGATTTTTGTATCAGTATTTCACAATACTTGTCCAAATTATCTATTTCATAAAAAGTGTCCAAATTTTACATTAATGTCTGCTCAATATTTCAGATACTTTGTAGCTTTCGCTCTGGACACCATTGCCGGAACAGCCTTCGGAATTCAAATTGACTCTCAGAAAGATTTTTCCCACCCGTTTGTTTTCAATGCGAAGAATGTGTTTCCAAGTAGTTTTTTTCAATGATAATTGTCTGCTACTTTCAGGTGAGAAAATACTTCAGGTTAGGAATATACTCTATTTCTCTATGTATGAATTGTCAAGCATAGATTGGACTATGACTGTGCTTCCTCACTGAAGCGTGATCGCCAATAGTCTGAACGGCAATGCAAGAGAATGAACAGTCTTTAGTGGTCAGCTGGCACATATAGCCGTAGGAATTATATAAATAGACCACAGACATTCTGTGCGTGGAGAATACAGGTCTTCACAAACTGGGTTCTCATACAGTATGGGACATTGGTCTTCAATGTCTGTATATATACATCTACCATTCAGAACCAAGATACCCCGGTTGCCGTTTCAAAGAGCGTTCAGTGATAACATGAGATATGTGTGGCTCCTGAACTGATATGCTCTTGCGTGTACTACAGTGTAACTCCGTGTAATACACTACCGCAGATGTTGCTGTTGTCGTAAATTGACTGTTTTGAAATTACTTACACTGTTATGTATGCCATGCTACAGATGAAGGTCATGATCAGAACTGCGCAAGAGTATCAATTAAATGAACGTTCTACATCTGGGTTTACATACACCGATGAAGGACAAATGAAAACATGTTACGTTCTCTAAGCATGGAGAAGCATTAGGTGATTGTTTCATGGGATTCAGTGCAGTTCACATTATAAACAATATTGGTGGGGTATTTTCAATAACAATCAAACATATCATGGTCGATGACAACTTTCACCATCTCGCTTGTTCCTCCTTTTCATCCTCACCATCAAGTGATGTTCCCTTCGCTGAAGCCTCTGCTGAAGCTGTGTGGGGTCTACACATTCGCTAGCAGCGTCGTCAACTTCTACCGAGAGACAGCTGAACGCATCGTTGTACAGCGTGGACGGCTGCCTACTGAAGTAGGTCATGTCACTTACAGTTAAAGGTTTGTTTGATCTTATAACTTCTGTAAGGTACAACACGAGACTAAAGCAGACATTCCTGTTACAGAATAAGGTGGATTTTCTGCAACTGCTCCTTGACGCTGAAGACAGCACGACTGAGAATGGAACCACACCCGCAAAACGTGAGTTGTGGCGATATTTTATAATTGATTGGTTAAGGTTTCATCTACAAATATTTTGATATTTCAGACTTACGATTAGCATTACACAGATTATTTCCTTGCTGCCCTAGGTGCTGTGCATGTATTCAATCCACTGCCAGTTTCCTATTCCTTTCTCGGTCTTGTACGTCACACCATTTACTACCCTTCATCAAGTTGATGTGTTCATCTTCCAGATTAATGTCATGTTTTATGTCGTTTCTATATAAAAGGGGAGGTGGGGTAACCTAGTAAATGAAGCGTTGGCTCGTCACGACGAAGACCCGGGTTCGACTCTCCACATAGATACAATGTGTGAAGCCCATTTATCGTGTCCTCCATCGTCATATTGCTGGAATATTGCTAAAGGCGACACAAAAAGATACTCACTCACTCCTATGTTAAAGGTTTATCATCAGAGGAAATCTGTGCTCAAGTCTGTGTGATCTTCGGTGGCGCCTTCGAGACTATCCCCACATCCCTCCAGTTCATGTCCTACGTTCTGGCGACTCATCCTAGTGTGCAGAAGAAGCTGGTCGAGGCCATCGACTCCGAGATTGGTGATGTAGGAGATTTTACAGCCTTATTCAATCTTCACGCTGACCATTGACGCATATTTCCTGCAGCGTACAAATCGCCAACTGCCTCTTTGTCGTCAAAATGTAAAGTAATGATCGACCATCTCATATTCCATTTTGTATTTAGACAAGCTAAGGTTTATCTTACTGCTGAAACAGCAGATATTTTATTTTACAAATTGAAGCTATGAGCCTAAACAGAAAGGAAAGTTGAAATCGTCTATACAAAATGTATTTATTCAGGATTTGTCTGAGACAACTTGGTAAGCATTCTTTTACAATTTATGTTTTTACTTTGATAAATCCCCTGTTGTTGTAGTCTCTACCGGCATCAAACATAAACGCAGACTGGTATTGTTTTTTAATACGCAGCCCTTTTTAAATCTTATTTATGGAAGGCAACATCACTGAAGACAATGTCAGACGCTGCTCCCGAACACACATGTATGAAGCATACAGAGGACTAGCCATATGACAGAACGTGTACAATAATCAGTTTCCTGTTGCAGGAACAGCCGACCTATGACAACATACAGAGGATAGAGTACCTGGAACACTTCATCCGGGAGACCCTCCGCCTCTACCCTTCAATACCACTGTAACTTCTGTTATTGAAGCGGAGAGTATTTTACGCACGCTTTATTTACGTTCACTTGTATATCAGCGTCTCTTTCATAGCTACGGTCAGGTTTGGTTGGTTGTTTTGGTTGGTTGTTTTACTCCGCACTCCAGCTATATGGCGCCGGTCTGTAAATAATCGAGTCTAGACCAGACAATACAGCGATCAGCAGCATGAGCATCAATCTACGTATTTGGCATTCGATGACATGTGTCAACCAAGTCAGCGAGCCTCACCACCCGATCCCGTTTGTCGCCTCTTATGACAAGCATGGGTTACTGAAGACCAATTCTAACCCGGATCAGGATGCCAAACATTAAAAAAAAGACAAAACACTGAAAGTACACATACATTACAATAAAAAATTACCTAATGCTAATACAAGCAATCTGTCTTAAGACATGTGATAAATATTATGAAGTATGTAGCTTATAACTGGATAGTTTTCTAGTTCAAACACATCAGAACCCGGTCATGTTGTACATTGTATTTACATGTTTCACTCAGCCTCCAAATGTTTGGTCTGGACTATGAGAACATGTGTGTTATATCTGGATCTGATTGTCTCAGGGTAGCCAGGGAAACTGTGAGCACGGTGGAAATCAAGGGCCACACATTCCCTAGAGGCTCCGTAGTGGTTGCCCCGACGCTGGAGATTCACAGAGACCCAGAATACTTTGATGATCCTGATTCGTTTGACCCTGATCGGTAGGTGGTCATACCATGGTATGTAGAAGGGCAGCAGTAGCAGCAGCAGCAGCAGTAGTAAAAGTAGTAGCAACAGCAGTAGTAGTAGTAGTAGCAGCAGCAGCAGTAGCAGTAGCAGTAGTAGTAGTAGTAGTAGCAGTAGTAGCAACAGTAGTAGTAGTAGTAGTAGTAGTAGCAGCAGCAGCAGCAGTAGCAGTAGCAGTAGTAGTAGTAGTAGTAGTAGTAGCAGCAGTAGTAGTAGTAGTAGTAGTAGCAGTAGCAGTAGTAGTAGTAGTAGTAGCAGCAGCAGCAGTAGTAGTAGTAGTAGCAGCAACAGTAGTAGTAGTAGTAGTAGTAGTAGTAGCAGCAGCAGCGGTAGCAGTAGCAGTAGCAGTAGTGGTAGTGGTGGTGGCAGTGGTAGCAACAGTAGTAGTAGTAGTAGTGAGTAGTGGTGAGCAGTAGCAGCAGCAGGTAGTGGCAGTGGTAGTAGTAGTAAACGTAGTAGTAGTAGTAGCAGCAGTAGTAGTAGTAGTAGTAGCAGCAGTAGTAGTAGTAGTAGTAGCAGCAGCAGTCAGCAGTGGTAGTAGTAGCAGCAGCAGCAGCAGTAGTAGTAGTAGTAGCAGCAGCAGTAGTAGTAGCAGTAGTAGTAGTAGTAGCAGCAGCAGTAGTAGTAGTAGTAGTAGCAGCAGCAGCAGTAGTAGTAGTAGTAGTAGCAGCAGTAGTAGTAGTAGCAGCAGCAGCAGTAGCAGCAGTAGTAGTAGTAGCAGCAGCGCAGTAGTAGTAGTAGTAGTAGCAGCAGTAGTAGTAGTAGTAGTAGCAGCAGCAGTAGTAGTAGTAGCAGTAGCAGGCAGTAGTAGTAGTAGTAGTAGTAGTAGTAGTTGTAGTAGTAGTAGTAGTAGTAGTAGTAGTAGTAGTAGTAGTAGTAGTAGTAGTAGTAGTAGCAGTAGCAGCAGCAGTAGTAGTAATGGTAGTTGTAATAATAGTGGTACTAGTTGCAGTAGCAGTAGTAGTAGTTGCAGTAGCAGCTCCACCACCACCACCACCACCACCAGCTGATGCTGAACCCCGGTGTCTTACTACTTCAGATGGAGAGAGACAATTAATCCCGTTTCCTGGCTTCCATTTGGTTACGGTCCTCGCCAGTGTATCGCGATGAGACTGGCCATGATTGAGATGAAGATTGGGCTGATCCATGTCCTCAGAAGGGTGGAGATCGTCAGACTACCTGACACACCTGTAAGTAGTTGACCGATCCGACTGAGTTTATAACAGACGTGAGCTCGTCTATGTGGCCTGTACTGGCAACGGTAAATGGGCAGTTAACCGTGGAGTCTCACCAACGACAGGCTCAACGTTGGATAAGACTTCCACATACCCTTCCTTCAAGCAAAGATAAACAAAACAAAAACAAACACACACACAAGCATACACATTCTCACACATACACTCACACATACACTCACACAAACACATGCACATTTGAGATATACACATTCTCACACACTCACATTGATACACATACACCTTCTAGTACTAGTAACCACAATGTGGTCATGAATGCATGACACGTATTTTTATGGCTAACAACATCTCCAAAAGAAAGAGCCCAGTCATTAACCGAGACCAAGGTATTTAATGTCTCAGTGCGTACTCCACTGAGCTATAATCCTCGGCTTCGTCTTACATTTGTTATATTTGTCCATTATTCCAATCTAACTGGCTTTGCGATTATATTGTTATCTTTTTTACATCTTCCCTCTATGCGTTGTGTACACATGTTTTATCTATATCTATTCACTCTGTGCACTGACTCAGCATTCTCCTGATTAAGGAAAAAGAATTATTTCCGAAACATCGCATAAAGAATAGAAAGAAGTTGTTATCCATAAAAGCGTATTATATATTCACGCTCGTCCAACTTCTAAATGCCTTCCAAGGTCGCAATAACCAAGGGCAGCACACGTGTAGTGACACAGGTGAATCGTAGGAGGAATGTAGTACACACCTGAATACTCCATGTTGCAGGCGGTGATGGAGTTACCATGCCACACATGTACACATCTACACACCTGTATACTCCATGTTGCAGGCGGTGATGGAGGTACCACGCCAAACATGTACACACCTGTATACTCCTTGTTCCAGGCGGTGATGGAGTTACCATGCCACACATGCACACACCTGTTTACTCCATGTTGCAGGCGGTGATGGAGGTGCCATCCCACACATGTACACACCTGTATACTCCATGTTGCAGGTGATGATGGTTTTACCATGCCACACATGTACACACCTGTATACTCCATCTTCCAGGCGATCATGGAGTTACCATGCCACACATGTACAGACCTGTATACTCCATGTTGCAGGCGACGATGGAGGTACCATGCCACACATGTACACACCTGTATACTCCATGTTGCAGGAGGTAATGGAGGTACCATGCCACACATGTACACACCTGTATACCCCATGTTGCAGGAGGTGATGGAGTTCCCATGCCACACATGTACACACCTGTATACTCCATGTTGCAGGAGGTGATGGAGATACCATGACACACATGTACACACCTGTATACTCCATGTTGCAGGAAGTGATGGAGTTACCATGCCAAACATGTACACACCTGTATACTCCATTTTGCAGGAGGTGATGGAGGTACCATTACACACATGTACACATCTACACACCTGTATACTCCTTCTTGCAGGCGGTGATGGAGGTACCATGCCAAACATGTACACACCTACACACCTGTATACTCCATGTTGCAGGCGGTGATGGAGGTACCATGCCACACATGTACACACATGTATACTCCATGTTGCAGGCAGTGATGGAGTTACCATGCCACACATGTACACACCTGTATACTCCATGTTGCAGGAAGTGATGGAGTTACCATGCCAAACATGTACACACCTGTATACTCCATGTTGCAGGAGGTAATGGAGGTACCATGCCACATATGTACACACCTCTAAACTCCATGTTGCAGGCGGTGATGGAGGTGCCATCCCACACATGTACACACCTGTATACTCCATGTTGCAGGTGATGATGGTGTTACCATGCCACACATGTACACACCTGTATACTCCATCTTCCAGGCGATCATGGAGTTACCATGCCACACATGTACAGACCTGTATACTCCATGTTGCAGGCGACGATGGAGGTACCATGCCACACATGTACACACCTGTATACTCCATGTTGCAGGAGGTAATGGAGGTACCATGCCACACATGTACACACCTGTATACTCCATGTTGCAGGAGTGGTGATGAAGGTACCATTCCACACATGTACACACCTGTATACTCCATGTTGCAGGAGGTGATGGAGGCACCATGTCACACATGTACACACCTGTATACTCCATGTTGCAGGAGGTGATGGAGGTACCATTACACACATGTACACACCTACACACCTGTATACTCCATGTTGCAGGAGGTGATGTAGGTACCATGCCACACATGTACACACCTGTATACTCCTTGTGGCAGGCGGTGATGGAGTTACCATGCCACACATGTACACACCTGTATACTCCATGTTGTAGGCGTTGATGGAATTACCATGCCACACATGTACACACCTGTATACTCCATGTTGAAGGCGACGATGGAGGCATCCATGCAACACATGTACACACCTGTATACTCCATGTTGCAGGCGGTAATGGAGGTACCATGGCAGACATGTACACACCTGTATACTCCATGTTGCAAGAGGTAATGGAGGTACCATGCCACACATGTACACACCTGTATACTCCATGTTGCAGGAGCTGATGGAGTTCCCATGCCACACATGTATACACCTGTATACTCCATGTTGCAGGCGGTGATGGAGTTACCATGCCACACATGTACACACCTGTATACTCCATGTTCCAGGCGGTGATGGAGGCATCCATGCCACACATGTACACACCTGTATACTCCATGTTGCAGGAGCTGATGGAGATAACATGCCACATATGTACACACCTACACACCTGTATACTCCATGTTGCAGGCGGTGATGGGGGGGCCATGCCACACATGTACACACCTGTATACTCCATGTTGCAGGCGGTGATGGAGGTACCATACCACACATGTACACACCTACACACCTGTATACTCCATGTTGCAGGAGTGGTGATGAAGGTACCATTCCACACATGTACACACCTGTATACTCCATGTTGCAGGAGGTGATGGAGGTACCATGTCACACATGTACACACCTGTATACTCCATTTTGCAAGAGGTGATGGAGGTACCATTACACACATGTACACACCTACACACCTGTATACTCCATGTTGCAGGAGGAAATGTAGGTACCATGCCACACATGTACACACCTGTATACTCCATCTTGCAGGCAGTGATGGAGTTACCATGCCACACATGTACACACCTGTATACTCCTTGTTGCAGGCGGTGATGGAGTTACCATGCCACACATGTACACACCTGTATACTCCATGTTGTAGGCGTTGATGGAATTACCATGCCACACATGTAAACACCTGTATACTCCATGTTGCAGGCGGTGATGGAGATACCATGCCACACATGTACACACCTACACACCTGTATACTCCATGTTGCAGGCGGTGATGAAGGTACCGTGCCACACATGTACACACATGTATACTACATGTTGCAGGCGGTGATGGAGGTACCATGTCACACATGTACACACCTGTATACTCCATGTTCTAGGAGGTGATGGAGGTACCATTCCACACATGTACACACCTGTATACTCCTTGTTGCAGGCGGTGATGGAGTTACCATTCCACACATGTACACACCTGTGTACTCCATGTTGCAGGCGGTGATGGAGGTGCCATCCCACACATGTACACACCTGTATACTCCATGTTGCAGGTGATGATGGTTTTACAATGCCACACATGTACACACCTGTATACTCCATCTTCCAGGCGATCATGGAGGTACCATGCCAAACATGTACACACCTACACACCTGTATACTCCATCTTGCAGGCAGTGATGGAGTTACCATGCCACACATGTACACACCTGTATACTCCTTGTTGCAGGCGGTGATGGAGTTACCATGCCACACATGTACACACCTGTATACTCCATGTTGTAGGCGTTGATGGAATTACCATGCCACACATGTAAACACATGTATACTCCATGTTGCAGGCGGTGATGGAGATACCATGCCACACATGTACACACCTACACACCTGTATACTCCATGTTGCAGGCAGTGATGAAGGTACCGTGCCACACATGTACACACATGTATACTACATGTTGCAGGCGGTGATGGAGGTACCATGTCACACATGTACACACCTGTATACTCCATGTTCTAGGAGGTGATGGAGGTACCATTCCACACATGTACACACCTGTATACTCCTTGTTGCAGGCGGTGATGGAGTTACCATTCCACACATGTACACACCTGTGTACTCCATGTTGCAGGCGGTGATGGAGGTGCCATCCCACACATGTACACACCTGTATACTCCATGTTGCAGGTGATGATGGTTTTACAATGCCACACATGTACACACCTGTATACTCCATCTTCCAGGCGATCATGGAGTTACCATGCCACACATGTACAGACCTGTATACTCCATGTTGCAGGCGACGATGGAGGTACCATGCCACACATGTACACACCTCTATACTCCATGTTGCAGGAGGTAATGGAGGTACCATGCCACACATGTACACACCTGTATACTCCATGTTGCAGGAGGTGATGGAGGTACCATGCCACACATGTACACACCTGTATACTCCATGTTGCAGGAGGTGATGGAGATACCATGTCACACATGTACACACCTGTATACTCCATTTTGCAGGAGGTGATGGAGGTACCATTACACACATGTACACATCTACACACCTGTATACTCCTTCTTGCAGGCGGTGATGGAGGTACCATGCCAAACATGTACACACCTACACACCTGTATACTCCATGTTGCAGGCGGTGATGGAGGTACCATGCCACACATGTACACACCTGTATACTCCATGTTGCAGGCGGTGATGGAGTTACCATGCCACACATGTACACACCTGTATACTCAATGTTGCAGGAAGTGATGGAGTTACCATGCCACACATGTACACACCTGTATTCTCCATGTTGCAGGAGGTAATGGAGGTACCATGCCACACATGTACACACCTGTAAACTCCATGTTGCAGGCGGTGATGGAGGTGCCATCCCACACATGTACACACCTGTATACTCCATGTTGCAGGTGATGATGGTGTTACCATGCCACACATGTACACACCTGTATACTCCATCTTCCAGGCGATCATGGAGTTACCATGCCACACATGTACAGACCTGTATACTCCATGTTGCAGGCGACGATGGAGGTACCATGCCACACATGTACACACCTGTATACTCCATGTTGCAGGAGGTAATGGAGGTACCATGCCACACATGTACACACCTGTATACTCCATGTTGCAGGAGCGGTGATGAAGGTACCATTCCACACATGTACACACCTGTATACTCCATGTTCCAGGAGGTGATGGAATTACCATGTCACACATGTACACACCTGTATACTCCATTTTGCAGGCGGTGATGGAGGTACCATTACACACATGTACACACCTACACACCTGTATACTCCATGTTGCAGGAGGTGATGTAGGTACCATGCCACACATGTACACACCTGTATACTCCTTGTGGCAGGCGGTGATGGAGTTACCATGCCACACATGTACACACCTGTATACTCCATGTTGTAGGCGTTGATGGAATTACCATGCCACACATGTACACACCTGTATACTCCATGTTGCAGGCGACGATGGAGGCATCCATGCCACACATGTACACACCTGTATACTCCATGTTGCAGGCGGTAATGGAGGTACCATGGCATACATGTACACACCTGTATACTCCATGTTGCAAGAGGTAATGGAGGTACCATGCCACACATGTACACACCTGTATACTCCATGTTGCAGGAGCTGATGGAGTTACCATGCCACATATGTACACACCTACACACCTGTATACTCCATGTTGCAGGCAGTGATGAAGGTACCGTGCCACACATGTACACACATGTATACTACATGTTGCAGGCGGTGATGGAGGTACCATGTCACACATGTACACACCTGTATACTCCATGTTCTAGGAGGTGATGGAGGTACCATTCCACACATGTACACACCTGTATACTCCTTGTTGCAGGCGGTGATGGAGTTACCATTCCACACATGTACACACCTGTATACTCCATGTTGCAGGCGATGATGGAGTTACCATGCCACACATGTACACACCTGTATACTCCATGTTGCAGGCGATAATGGAGGTACCATGCCACACATGTACACACCTGTATACAACATGTTGCAGGAGCTGATGGAGTTCCCATGCCACACATGTATACACCTGTAAACTCCATGTTGCAGGCGGTGATGGAGTTACCATGCCACACATGTACACACCTGTATACTCCATGTTGCAGGCGGTGATGGAGGTACAATGCCACACATGTACACACCTGTATACTCCATGTTGCAGGCAGTGATGGAGTTACCATGCCACACATGTACACACCTGTATACTCAATGTTACAGGAAGTGATGAAGTTACCATGCCACACATGTACACACCTGTATACTCCATGTTGCAGGAGGTAATGGAGGTACCATGCCACACATGTACACACCTGTATACTCCATGTTGCAGGAGCTGATGGAGTTACCATGCCTCATATGTACACACCTACATACCTGTATACTCCATGTTGCAGGCGGTGATGGAGGTACCATGCCACACATGTACACACCTGTATACTCCATGTTGCAGGAGCTGATGGAGTTACCATGCCACATATGTACAAACCTACACACCTGTATACGCTATGTTGCAGGCGGTGATGGGGGGCCATGCCACACATGTACACACCTGTAAACTCCATGTTGCAGGCGGTGATGGAGGTACAATGCCACACATGTACACACCTACACACCTGTATACTCCATGTTGCAGGAGGTGATGAAGGTACCGTGCCACACATGTACACACATGTATACTACATGTTGCAGGCGGTGATGGAGGTACCATGTCACACATGTACACACCTGTATACTCCATGTTCCAGGAGGTGATGGAGGTACCATTCCACACATGTACACACCTGTATACTCTTTGCTGCAGGCGGTGATGGAGTTACCATTCCACACATGTACACACCTGTATACTCCATGTTGCAGGCGATGATGGAGTTACCATGCCACACATGTACACACCTGTATACTCCATGTTGCAGGCGATAATGGAGGTGCCATGCAACACATGTACACACCTGTATACTCCATGCTGCAGGCGGTGATGGAGTTACCATGCCACACATGTACACACATGTGTACTCCATGTTGCAGGCGGTGATGGAGGTACCATGCCACACATGTACACACCTGTATACTCCATGCTGCAGGCGGTGATGGAATTACCATGCCACACATGTACACACCTGTATACTCCATGTTGCAGGCGACGATGGAGGAATCCATGCCACACATGTACACACCTGTATACTCCATGTTGCAGGCGGTAATGGAGGTACCATGACACACATGTACACACCTGTATACTCCATGTTGCAAGAGGTAATGGAGGTACCATGCCACACATGTACACACCTGTATACTCCATGTTGCAGGAGCTGATGGAGATAACATGCCACATATGTACACACCTACACACCTGTATACTCCATGTTGCAGGCGGTGATGGGGGGGCCATGCCACACATGTACACACGTGTATACTCCATGTTGCAGGCGGTGATGGAGGTACCATGCCACACATGTACACACCTGTATACTCCATGTTGCAGGAGGTGATGGAGGTACCATGTCACACATGTACACACCTGTGTACTCCATTTTGCAGGAGGTGATGGAGGTACCATGTCACACATGTACACACCTACACACCTGTATACTCCATGTTGCAGGAGGTAATGTAGGTACCATGCCACACATGTACACACCTGTATACTCCATCTTGCAGGCGGTAATGGAGGTACCATGCCACACATGTACACACCTGTATACTCCATGTTGCAGGAGGTGATGGAGGTACCATGCCACACATGTACACACCTGTATACTCCATGTTGCAGGCGGTGATGGAGATACCATGCCACACATGTACACACCTACACACCTGTATACTCCATGTTGCAGGCAGTGATGAAGGTACCGTGCCACACATGTACACACATGTATACTACATGTTGCAGGCGGTGATGGAGGTACCATGTCACACATGTACACACCTGTATACTCCATGTTCTAGGAGGTGATGGAGGTACCATTCCACACATGTACACACCTGTATACTCCTTGTTGCAGGCGGTGATGGAGTTACCATTCCACACATGTACAGACCTGTATACTCCATGTTGCAGGCGATGATGGAGTTACCATGCCACACATGTACACACCTGTATACTCCATGTTGCAGGCGATAATGGAGGTACCATGCCACACATGTACACACCTGTATAGTCCATGTTGCAGGAGCTGATGAAGTTCCCATGCCACACATGTATACACCTGTATACTCCATGTTGCAGGCGGTGATGGAGTTACCATGCCACACATGTACACACCTGTATACTCCATGTTGCAGGCGGTGATGGAGGTACCATGGCACACACGTACACACCTGTATACTCCATGTTGCAGGAGGTAATGTAGGTACCATGCCACACATGTACACACCTACACACCTGTATACTCCATGTTGCAGGCGGTGATGGAGTTACCATGCCACACATGTACACACCTGTATACTCCATGTTGCAGGAGCTGATGGAGGTACCATGCCTCATATGTACACACCTACATACCTGTATACTCCATGTTGCAGGCGGTGATGGAGGTACCATGCCACACATGTACACACCTGTATACTCCATGTTGCAGGAGCTGATGGAGTTACCATGCCACATATGTACACACCTGTATCCTCCATTTTGCAGGCGGTGATGGAGTTACCATGCCACACATGTACACACCTGTATACTCCATGTTGCAGGCGGTGATGGAGGTACCATGCCACACATGTACACACCTGTATACTCCATGTTGCAGGAAGTGATGGAGGTACCATGCCACACATGTACACACCTGTATCCTCCATGTTGCAGGCGGTGATGGAGTTACCATGCCACACATGTACACACCTGTATGCTCCATGTTGCAGGCGGTGATGGAGGTACCGTGCCACACATGTACACACCTGTATACTCCATGTTGCAGGCGGTGATGGAGGTACCATGCCACACATGTACACACCTGTATGCTCCATGTTGCAGGAAGTGATGGAGTTCGACCCTAAAGCTCATGGTCGGCTGGCTCCAAGAAAGGTCATCAAACTCAAGATTGAACTGCGTCAACAACGGCCGACTACAGCCTCGTGCAGCTGAATGTATATGCACCTCGTGATGATCTCGTGGTGTTTCTGGTACAATATGGCGACACCCGCGCGTCTAGGCCCTGGATGGATCAATCAGTTGATAAAGTGGTTTGTCAATAAATGAATACATATAAGAAAAAGGTGTGTCTTTATTGATGATTTAGTCTTGATTTGTTTTCTACAGAACTGTAGTAATACAGTCTAAGTAATATTGTAGTCATCAGTTTGACAATAACTACGGCTCCATTAGCTAATTTTTCGACACATAAAAGTTTTGCGGCTGGGACGAAGAATAGAATGTCTGTTTCCCCATCATGACTGTCTGACTAACAGTTCGGCTGCCCCTGGGTTGTTTAACGCCGTACTCGGACATATTCCATCTATATTGTGGCTGTCTGAAGATAATCGAATCTGGACCAGATAATCCCGTGACTAACATCATGGGCCTACACAACCGGACTATAATTGTGAGACTGACCATCCGCTTCTATCTCGTCTCACCGCATGGACTGCTAATGACCAGCCCGGACCACTTGCTATTTAAGTTAAGAAAAAACTATCGTGGAAACTGCAGGTCATTGTGACCAAGCGTACATGTGAGTCAGTTTATTACCTGTGAGAGACGGGTGCTACTTACCCTCTTCCTGTCATCATTGATATTCAAATAACCTTTCATATCGTTTTCAGCACAGTTACCCTCTTAATCCTGCGATCTGTTTCGGCAGATATTCGATGTCGATTATACCCTGGCATTGGAATTTTGAAATTTAAGTTCACTCAGTAAAACTGACGGTAATGATTCTAAAACCCCTTAACATGTTTAGATACTACTGGTGATTTTATTTTAAACCCGTGTGCTGCTACGACGCCCATTGAGAGTGAACGCGACGCAGTGGGATGGGCGTGGTAAGGAAATGTCAAGACTACAGACGTGGGACTCTCAAGGAGAGACGAGTAGAAATCAGGAAGCTGAATCTGTAAACACACTTTATGAGAACAGGAAATTAAACAAATATTAGGAAATGTGGTCGTCGTGTATATTATGTTCTATTTACATTTATATTTTGGATATACAGTGTCGTCCTTCAACTAATTCTACGATGAACGTCCAGAATAACATACACAGACATGGCATTGGTCAGTTGTAGGGTCACCTTATGGGCTGTTTCTGTGTGATACAAGCGACATAAACCTCATCCTCGTGTCACAGGGCTGTTCCCATCAACACATTCGTTTATTATTGATACAAGCGACATAAATCTCATCCTCGTGTCACAGGGCTGTTCCCATCAACATATTCGTTTATTATTGATACAAGCGACATAAACCTCATCCTCGTGTCACAGGGCTGTTCCCATCAGCACCTTCGTATATTATTTATGCAAGCGACATAAATCTCATCCTCGTGTCATAGGGCTGTTTCAGTCAACATATTCGTTTATTATTGATACAAGCGACATAAATCTCATCATCGTGTCACAGGGCTGTTCCCATCAACATATTCGTTTATTATTGATACAAGCGACATAAACCTCATCCTCGTGTCACGGGGCTGTTCCCGTCAGCACCTTTGTTTATTATTTATGCAAGCGACATAAATCTCATCCTCGTGTCATGGGGCTGTTTCAGTCAACATATTCGTTTATTATTGATACAAGCGACATAAATCTCATCCTCGTGTCACAGGGCTGTTCCCATCAACATATTCGTTTATTATTGATACAAGCGACATAAATCTCATCCTCGTGTCACAGGGCTGTTCCCGTCAGCACCTTCGTTTATTATTGATACAAGCGACATAAATCTCATCCTCGTGTCACAGGGCTGTTCCCATCAACATATTCGTTTATTAGTGATACACGCGTCTTAATACTCATTCTTTTTCGGAGGCTGCCTCTGTCGTGATATTCGTGAAAAATCGCAACTCTAGAAACAATCATAACAGGAACATAATGAAACACGTGAGCAGAGACCATATAATAGTCTATTATATGGTCTCTGATGTGAGTGAAACGTCAAACAACAGAACAATGCCAGATACGTGTTATCTGGCCCAGCTGACCGACCTCTCACGGACCCGCCCAGATAGCCGTGTTACAACCAGTCGTCAGCAACATGGCGCCTTGGGGGGAGTTAATCCTGCTTGCTGGAGTTACGGGTAAATCTGCAGAATTCTTATAATTGATTGGTAGTAATACTAAGTCTTTATTGTGGGTATATGGGGGAGTGTCTGTTGTATGACCCAAGTCGTAAGGAGACAGCTAGTCATGTAATATATCCGTACATTATCCATTCATGAAAACAATATAGAGATTAACACTTGAGTGATAGCTGTGGGGGTTTGTTTTGTTTAACACACCATACCATCATCAGTTATAATGGACGACGAGAAACTGCCTTGTTGATATCTTACATGTTGAAATCATCCCCGGGATGTTACAGAGGACGTGTGTTGTGGAAACATAGGGGATGTATGAATCCGGCAGTTGTACGCCTCCTTTCATTTAAAGGGGTAATTGTTAATCACATTAACAGGAGACTCTAATATGAAGACATATCCCAGCTTGTTAGAAAATCGGGATCACATTAATTTACTATTGTTTCGCTCTTCTGCCGACTCCCAAGGTGCATACATAGACATATCGCTGAAGTATGGACATTTGAATGTACGTATATGACTTACTCACGTTAAATCTTCATTAATATACGTTTGTATTTGGTTGAGTGAGTGGGTGAGCGAGTACGTTTTAGCAATATTCAATCAATATCACGGCGGGTGCCACAAGAAATGGGCTTCACATCGAAGCCGGGAATCGAAGCCGGGTCTTTGGGGACGCAAGAACGCTTTAACCATTAGGCTACCCCACCGGCCCAAAACATTAAGGACATCGCCGTCATTAATGTTTACTATAGCATAAGAATTATGCGTAACTTGCGTCTCTCTTGTCTACAGCATTGTGCGCAGGAGACGTCCACTTCGGAACGTTTGTGTTTCATCCCGACTACGCCCACCCCATGGTGTTTGACCCTGTGTTTTACGTCAACACATACAGCGACCTTGGTCACCTTGCTACACCTGAGATCGCCAGGGATCACTGGCTGAAACATGGTATTGATGAGGGAAGACAGGGGTCTGGCCAGTTCCACTCCAAGCAGTATCTGAAGAGGTAAGCATCTCCCGACTCGCTGTCACACTATTAGTTTACTGTGCACCATAAGGAAATATTTGTAATTTCAGTTTGAAAATGACCGGGGGATGCCGTCAGACACCTTCAGACAGATCTTCAGTTTATCAAGTAAAGTAAAGAAAAGGCAGAGTGAAGTTTTAGTTATCCTAAACACATTTCGGTAATGTCTTGATCTACGGTTAAAGCATTGTCCACCATCGCTAAGATGAGGCGCTGGTCAAGGCTGAAGGGGCGATGGTGGAGCCTATGGGTTAATCCTCCCTTCCGCCACACGTTAGAACTGGGTTTGATTCTTGACATGAGTAAAATGTGTGGAGTTTACTTTCCTCACTATATTGCTGAAACTGAAACACATGCTCACTGGTCCACTCACCCACTCACCCACTCGCTGCAGGAATCCAGAGATCGCCAGAGCGTTTGGACAGAATTACACAGCAGCCATCAACCACTTTCTGGAGTTTGGTCGGTACGAGCACCTGCAGGGCTACGTGGAGGGCGGGTACGGCGGGCGCTACACCATCTCAGTTGACACGCTCTACATCAGCGCCTCGGCACGCATGGGAGGAGCGATAGACAGTCTGGTCTGGGGGAACAAGGAGTTTATCAATGCCTGGGATCATGGACGCGAGATTCAGACTGCCATCAATGCTATACCATACGGTGAATGTTTCAACCCAACCGAGGCTGGAGGGGCCAGTGATTATAAGTCACCCACCACGAAGTCTGTTCTGAAAAATATTACAGTCAACGCCAACGTTATGACATCCACGGTACGACAAAAACAATATACAGTATAGATAGCACGGGCGCCATCACATTGTTTTGGTTGTCACGTAGTGATGAAACTGCATCTTAGTATTTAGTTCTCTCCCCAAACCATCAAATAATATAGTATATTCCCATATGCTTCAACAGATACAGTGTAAACCACAACAATGTGAGGAATCGTTATCATGAAGGGTTTCACATTATATATTCGTTTTAGAAACACTCGCCATCCCACAATCACAATGGAACACAAACCAACTATTCCGCGTCAGGTGATGTTTATTAAATTTACTTGGGTCTCATTGGGAAATGACATATCTATCATGACTCACGATATTCGCATTAATTACGACATCACTCGACGTGAATAACAGTTATATTGCGAATTACCACTCACTGCGTCATCTCTACAGACACGTCGCTGTAACTGTACAGTGTAAGGGGTATCGAGTTCCATCCTCGATACGAAGTTTTGGGTTCGATTCCCTGCATGGTTACATTGTTCCTAGCGCTGATATTGCTTTGATATTGACGACTCAGAGGGGGTCGAGGACAATTGCCACCTTGTACAATTGCCATGCAATATTTCATCAAAGTCAAATTTACTTCAAGATTAAAAGTTGATCAAAGTCAGAACATGAAAATAAGAAAACATTGACTTTTCATCATCTAAGGGGGCGGTGGGGTAGTCTAGTGGTTAAAGCGTTGGCTCGTCACGCCGAAGACCCGGGTTCGAATACAAAGGGGTACAATAAGTGAAGCCCATTTCTGGTGTCCCCCCGCCGTGATGCTGCTGGAATATTGCTAAAAGCGGCGTAAAACCAAACTCAGTCAGTCAGTCAGTCATCATCTAAGGTTGTGGTTTTTTTTTACAACCTGCATTCATTTTCTCAAATACAATTGCATAAACATTCTGGGTGGCAACTGTCCTCACCATTATAATAAAAATAACTGGGCGGCAATCATCCTGGGTGGCAATTGTCCTGGTGGCAACTGCCCTGCTCCTATGAGGAGAACAGTACACTGTTACCACTGAAAATCAAATTGAAATTGACGTGCTTAGTACTTTAAAGTGAAGTTGTATCATTGTAGTATATTTTCTGTAACGTCAGCGTCTCCTTGTCACAGGTATATCCTGCCTTCTGGATCCGGGCTGGCAGCCGCGAGGTGAACAACATGACGCGTGTGTGCATGCGGGGCTCCCCAGCCGTCAACACAGTCGACACCTACAACCACGCCTTCTCCAAGGTCGTCACCATAGGCTGTGCTGGAGTTCACTACTGCATTAAGTATGAGGCTGGGTTCCAGATAGCGGGCAAATGGCCTAAATACGACTTTATCAACTTGGAGGCGCCCGCGGTGTATTTGACTGGTAACTTCACCAAGCTCCTGAACTACAACCCCCTGAACCACCAGCTGCAGCCTCACACCCACAGTACCTGGCCCCCGTCTATACAACTCCTGACCACAAGTATGCAATGGGCGTGTATGCCCCGGGGGGACAGGACACGGACCTGTTCATGTACTACAACACTGGTCAGTTTGACGGCAACTTCGCCGACAAGACCAACTCGATGCACGTCGTATTCAGAAAGCAGCCTTTCCCGGATACCAGCCCACGACACCTGTCGTATGTGTCGTACCTCTGTGTCGGCACTCTCGACATGGTGGCTGACTGTATGAGGAGGCTACAGAGCACACTCATTTAACCCACCCTTTCTCATGACAACCAGCCTCACACTGACCGTCCCAGGAGGGTAGACTGCATATTAAAACATAAAGTGTTCTCTTTGTTTCCTATTTCATCAAATGACATCTTATGTCGAGCGCTCCTTATCCCACGTGGACATCACGACGTTACCATGACTACAGACCAAATTTGAATACTTTTAATGTACAATGTATTATTATATAACTCTTTGTTATATATGTTTTAGTCTATATCATGTTGTAGTAGATCTATCTTACTGTAGTGTGCTCTATGGGTCGTATGCTGGGTATGTATATACCTGCAACATGGCGAGGTATCAAACAGAGGGTCATACAAACTGAAGGATACTGACTACTGAACTAATGTCTTGAAGATTATTAAAGAGCGTTATGGAGCCACAACCATTTTTTTTGATAAATAGAACACGAATGAAATGCATAAATGAGGGATAACGTAGTGTTTTTCTCCTTTCAAGAGGAAATCAAATCTATAAAATTAAAACGCTTACATAAAATATAAATACACAGATGCGACTATCCCCAGATTCCATTTTGTTGGTATAAACGGTGACACAGCTGTGAAGAAATCCGGGAATGAACCACTGAACATCAACTTTCACACCAGGTGTCGCTCACGACGGTGTTTTTCACATATCGTTTTATTCAAATGATACAAGTTGGCAAGGAAATTCAATGTGAAATAAATGTCATACACTTAACACTTGTATTAAAACGTTAACTAGGTTTGCGTATACGTACACATAGCTGCAAAGGATTGGTTGGGCGGTGGGGTAGCCTAGTGGTTTAAGTGTTAGTGCCCGTCACGCTGAAGAGCCGTGTTCGATTCCAGTATCGGTACATTGCTGGAATATTGCCAAAAGTGGCGTAAAACCATACTCACTCATTACTTACAATCATAGTCAAGTGGAAGTTCACCATTTACTGGCAGTACAATTACAGTCAAGTGGAAGTTCACCATTTACTGACAGTACAATCACAGTCAAATGGAAGTTCACCATTTACTGGCAGTACAATTACAGTCAAGTGGAAGTTCACCATTTACTGACAGTACAATCACAGTCAAATGGAAGTTCACCATTTACTGGCAGTACAATTACAGTCAAGTGGAAGTTCACCATTTACTGACAGTACAATCACAGTCAAATGGAAGTTCACCATTTACTGGCAGTACAATTACAGTCAAGTGGAAGTTCACAATTTACTGACAGTACAATCACAGTCAAATGGAAGTTCACCATTTACTGGCAGTACAATTACAGTGAAGTGGAAGTTCACAATTTACTGACAGTACAATCACAGTCAAATGGAAGTTCACCATTTACTGGCAGTACAATTACAAAGGCAGTATGCTTTACAACAGCAGACTTAGTAGTAAAGTATTTGATGAAAAAAAGTGAACTATCAACAACAGTGGTCAAGCTGCATAAACAGGCCCAGACTGCATATTTAGGGTGAACATTACGATCTCCATACAACAGCTTAGAGAAGAATGTACATTCATTGTAGTCCACATACCTTTCCTAATGTACCATGGAATTGGCTATGCTGTTCCACTCTAAAGCACCTTAATATAGTAAATTCCACACCACTGCTTACGTTGGCTAGACCTTTGTATGAGGTGGAATGTTTCTCCTGGATGAATAGCATCAGCACTGACTTTATTGTCATTCCCATTTCTATTTTATGCAGCTATTTGTTAATGTACTGCCACTGAATGTGTAAGTCATTCTTATCCCTGTGCAGTACAATGTTTTGTCAACCTAATTCATGTTATGGTTGTTAGTTACATGACCCTTCATGTTATGGTTGTTAGTTACATGACCCTTCATGTTATGGTTGTTAGTTACATGACTCTTCATGTTATAGTTGTTAGTTACATGACTCTTCATGTTATGGTTGTTAGTTACATGACTCTTCATGTTATGGTTGTTAGTTACATGACTCTTCATGTTATGGTTGTTAGTTACATGACTCTTCATGTTATGGTTGTTAGTTACATGACTCTTCATGTTATGGTTGTTAGTTACATGACTCTTCATGTTATGGTTGTTAGTTACATGACTCTTCATGTTATGGTTGTTAGTTACATGACTCTTCATGTTATGGTTGTTAGTTACATGACTCTTCATGTTATGGTTGTTGTTAGTTACATGACTCTTCATGTTATGGTTGTTAGTTGCATGACTCTTCATGTTATGGTTGTTAGTTACATGACTCTTCATGTTATGGTTGTTAGTTACATGACCCTTCATGTTATGGTTGTTAGTTACATGACCCTTCATGTTATGGTTGTTAGTTACATGACTCTTCATGTTATGGTTGTTAGTTACATGACTCTTCATGTTATGGTTGTTAGTTACATGACTCTTCATGTTATGGTTGTTAGTTACATGACTCTTCATGTTATGGTTGTCAGTTACATGACTCTTCATGTTATGGTTGTTAGTTACATGACTCTTCATGTTATGGTTGTTAGTTACATGACCCTTCATGTTATGGTTGTTAGTTACATGACCCTTCATGTTATGGTTGTTAGTTACATGACTCTTCATGTTATGGTTGTTAGTTACATGACTTCTTGTTATGGTTGTTATGGTTGTTAGTTACATGACTCTTCATGTTATGGTTGTTAGTTACATGACTCTTCATGTTATGGTTGTTAGTTACATGACTCTTCATGTTATGGTTGTTAGTTACATGACTCTTCATGTTATGGTTGTTAGTTACATGACTCTTCATGTTATGGTTGTTAGTTACATGACTCTTCATGTTATGGTTGTTAGTTACATGACTCTTCATGTTATGGTTGTTAGTTACATGACTCTTCATGTTATGGTTGTTAGTTACACGACTCTTCATGTTATGGTTGTTAGTTACATGACTCTTCATGTTATGGTTGTTAGTTACATGACTCTTCATGTTATGGTTGTTAGTTACATGACTCTTCATGTTATGGTTGTTAGTTACATGACTCTTCATGTTATGGTTGTTAGTTACATGACTCTTCATGTTATGGTTGTTAGTTACATGACTCTTCATGTTATGGTTGTTAGTTACATGACTCTTCATGTTATGGTTGTTAGTTACATGACTCTTCATGTTATGGTTGTTAGTTACATGACTCTTCATGTTATGGTTGTTAGTTACATGACTCTTCATGTTATGGTTGTTAGTTACATGACTCTTCATGTTATGGTGGTTGTTAGTTACATGACTCTTCATGTTATGGTTGTTAGTTACATGACTCTTCATGTTATGGTTGTTAGTTACATGACTCTTCATGTTATGGTTGTTAGTTACATGACTCTTCATGTTATGGTTGTTAGTTACATGACCCTTCATGTTATGGTTGTTGGACATGACTCTTCATGTTATGGTTGTTAGTTACATGACTCTTCATGTTATGGTTGTTAGTTACATGACTCTTCATGTTATGGTTGTTAGTTACATGACTCTTCATGTTATGGTTGTTAGTTACATGACCCTTCATGTTATGGTTGTTAGTTACATGACTCTTCATGTTATGGTTGTTAGTTACATGACTCTTCATGTTATGGTTGTTAGTTACATGACTCTTCATGTTATGGTTGTTAGTTACATGACTCTTCATGTTATGGTTGTTAGTTACATGACTCTTCATGTTATGGTTGTTAGTTACATGACTCTTCATGTTATGGTTGTTAGTTACACGACTCTTCATGTTATGGTTGTTAGTTATGTTATGACTCTTCATGTTATGGTTGTTAGTTACATGACTCTTCATGTTATGGTTGTTAGTTACATGACTCTTCATGTTATGGTTGTTAGTTACATGACTCTTCATGTTATGGTTGTTAGTTACATGACTCTTCATGTTATGGTTGTTAGTTACATGACTCTTCATGTTATGGTTGTTAGTTACATGACTCTTCATGTTATGGTTGTTAGTTACATGACTCTTCATGTTATGGTTGTTAGTTACATGACTCTTCATGTTATGGTTGTTAGTTACATGACTCTTCATGTTATGGTTGTTAGTTACATGACTCTTCATGTTATGGTTGTTAGTTACATGACTCTTCATGTTATGGTTGTTAGTTACATGACTCTTCATGTTATGGTTGTTAGTTACACATGACTCTTCATGTTATGGTTGTTAGTTACATGACTCTTCATGTTATGGTTGTTAGTTACATGACTCTTCATGTTATGGTTGTTAGTTACATGACTCTTCATGTTATGGTTGTTAGTTACATGACTCTTCATGTTATGGTTGTTAGTTACATGACTCTTCATGTTATGGTTGTTAGTTACATGACTCTTCATGTTATGGTTGTTAGTTACATGACTCTTCATGTTATGGTTGTTAGTTACATGACTCTTCATGTTATGGTTGTTAGTTACATGACTCTTCATGTTATGGTTGTTAGTTACATGACTCTTCATGTTATGGTTGTTAGTTACATGACTCTTCATGTTATGGTTGTTAGTTACATGACTCTTCATGTTATGGTTGTTAGTTACATGACTCTTCATGTTATGGTTGTTAGTTACATGACTCTTCATGTTATGGTTGTTAGTTACATGACTCTTCATGTTATAGTTGTTAGTTACATGACTCTTCATGTTATGGTTGTTAGTTACATGACCCTTCATGTTATAGTTGTTAGTTACATGACTCTTCATGTTATGGTTGTTAGTTACATGACTCTTCATGTTATGGTTGTTAGTTACATGACTCTTCATGTTATGGTTGTTAGTTACACGACTCTTCATGTTATGGTTGTTAGTTACATGACTCTTCATGTTATGGTTGTTAGTTACATGACTCTTCATGTTATGGTTGTTAGTTACATGACTCTTCATGTTATGGTTGTTAGTTACATGACTCTTCATGTTATGGTTGTTAGTTACATGACTCTTCATGTTATGGTTGTTAGTTACATGACTCTTCATGTTATGGTTGTTAGTTACATGACTCTTCATGTTATGGTTGTTAGTTACATGACTCTTCATGTTATGGTTGTTAGTTACATGACTCTTCATGTTATGGTTGTTAGTTACATGACTCTTCAT